ACCCGAGAGCTAGAGATGGTTTTTAGCGCGGTAGAGATATCGAGCCGTAATCTTATTAACTAAATTCTTAAGATGCTCGAACTTATTTAGACTCGTTTCTTTATCTCCTTCCTAGGACGATTAAAATTTAATTATTTGTTAATTCCGACCGCTCACCCTAGAGCTGGGGATGGTTTCTAGCGCGGTAGAAATGTCGAGCCGTAATCTTATCGACTAAATTCTTAAGGTGCTCGAACTTATTTAGACTCGTTTCTCTATCTCCTTTCTAGGACGATTAAAATTTAATTATTTGTTAATTTCGACCGCTAACCCTGGAGCTGAGGATGATTTTTAGCGCGGTAAAGAATGAATATATAAGGTGGGCGAGGTAATGTTATCTCTTCTCTAGGTAAGCGAATTACTTTCATCGGAGATCCTATAAATAAGCCTGTACGCGCGGAGACGAGAACGGTACCTCGGGGAGACATAATAGACGGCGGTGACGCTGATTAAGGGAGAAAGCGACGCGTACTAGTAAGACGAGTTTTAGTCGTGGAGAGCCGAAGATTTAGGTAAAGACGAGAGATGATAACGAGCTAATAAACGAAGAGAGATAATAGTCGAAGTATAATCGTAGGAGAGAGCCCGGGAAGATATAATATTATCTATCACCGTATAGTATTAACTATAGTACGATGGAGCTAATATTAATATAATCTAACTCGGGTTACACCGTATCGCTTATATAGACGATGTTTAGACACATCTCGAGGGAAATCACCGTGGACGCTCTCCCGAATGGTCGACGAAATGAATCTACTAGAAGCGAGTATATAGTGAATATTGAATTCATTCTACGCTTCACTGTACGTCTCACGAGACTATACCTCTAGGATGAGGATAATAACCGAAGGGATGCGGAGAAGCGAAGTTACGTAAAAGGACAATCTTCGTAGAACTCGGCGTACACGGCTAGATGAGTCTTCCCTTCCTATCTATGGGAATATATATATTGAATATATTAGTGCAGATTTCTCCGCTGTTACTCGATTCTCTAGCTAAAGCTAACTAACTTATACTTAGTGGGAAGCTCCGCGTATACTCTATATAAAGCTCTAAGACTCTCTATTTTAAGCGCCGCCCCTAATAATTTAATACTATTGGCGCCTCTACTTTCTATCTTCTAACGGTGTGAAGATACCCCTGCGCCCTATACTGAAGCTTAATACCGTGTTCGTACTCTACCACTACTAATCCCGAGTGACACCTAAATTATTCGCACTATATATCTCTAGCCGTAGAGGCTCGATGCTAGTCCGAGTCTACTCTAACTTGGCTCTATGAAACTCTACCTATGACTACTCCGTAAATGGATTCTCTAGGTTCTCCGAACGAATCACCGACTTATCATCGACTTAGTTTAACTTTATCTAATCTAACTTAGTTCCCATATCCTCGAGATTCACGACGGTGAACCCGGGTGAATCAAAACTTATATTATCGGCGGGCTCGCCGAGTGTCGTATCGTTTAGTGAAGCATCTCGGGGGCTATTATGAGCCGATCCGATATCATTAGCTTCCCGGGTGGTTTTAGGCTCGGTCGGGGAAGGATTAAGAGGGGCATTATTAGCCGAGCCGATATCTTTATCTTCTATACTGACATTACTCTCTTCCGATGAAGAATCACGGAGAGGTTCATCGGCTGAACCGGTATCGCCGTTACTCTCCGCTTTCGCGCGGACGAGCGGAAGATAGAGGTCCTCGTACCTAAAGTTGTAGTACGGGACGAGCGTCACCCGGCTAATAGTCTCGCCGTCTTAAGAGTTCACTCACGTATTAAGATCGGAGTCGTATAGGAAACCGCTGTTCGGGTCCATAAGGTAGCCGGTGTCGGGGTAGAAAACCTAAGTCGACTTAGAATCGATCTCATTGTCCGTGGCCTTTTAGTAAAATCTCTAGGTCTCCGGGTTATACCGCGCAGTAACTTCGTCTCACTAAAAGGTGGTGCCGCGCCGCAATAGCTTATCGGCCGAATCTAAGTCGCGCACAAACAGAGTGGGCCCATCTTTATGCTTAGTCGGGGTCTAGGGCGGAGGAGCGCGATCTATGAGAAGAGCTAGAGTTAGTGAGGTAAGGAGAGGGGGGAGGGGAATGGTCTATAGAATAGATCT